GCACCACAAAGGCACCCTTTGGAAGAACCTACTCACCTTGGAGGAGTTCTGGGCTCTGCAGACGGTGCACAGGAGGAGCAGAGAGAGCAGGAGCAAGTGATGCTGCAGAGGAGACGACGCCTCTTTTATACTCTCCCTGAGCTACGATTTGTGACACCCTCAAATCTCCTCCGGGGCAGCAACCCTGGGAATTGTGCAAGGCTGCTCAGCACGCCCAGGTGGTGACTTCTCGGCTCCAGGAACTGGCTGCTCTCCCTGTTAACGAGGGAGGGGACGCCCCAAACTCATCAGGACAAAACAAGGAAACACCAAAACTGACATTTGTGAGGAGCCATCACCGGGGGTCAGTGATGATGCAGCATTGGAACATTCCTGCAGAGTTTGGGGGGTCTGGGGAGATGATGGGAGACAAATTTGTCTGGATCACACCTGTGAGGGTCTCCAGTGGGATAACACTGGGCTTACCCAATGGGAGATGAGGTTCATCATTGCATTTGCCCCGTCGTTGTTGAGTCTGGATGGAGGTTTGGTGGCCCCTCTCAACGTGCTGCTGGTGTTGGCCAACACATTCCCCCCCCATCCACCTCTCCAAACTCATGAGAGCATTCTCCCTGCATCACTTGTCCATAGACTTCCATGGAGTCAATCCTGGGTACAAATCCAGGCATGCCAGTGTGTGGGAAACCTTCCAGCTGGTCTGAGGAGGTGGCACTTCCCAGCAGCTCTAATTGCTACCCGATGACAATTGAGGGCATTGGCAAACCCTCCCGACTCCCAGCTGTGCCCCTCGGTGTTGGGGGGATGCTGCCACATGTGGGAGACCCCCTGGTGTTCCCACTGCCCAACCCTGCGTGACTTGAGGGGGCTGGTGGGGAGCCCCTCATCCCAAATCCAGCCCCTGCCTGGCCCTGGAGGCTTTTGGGGAACGGGAAGGACAGTGGTGGTGAAACATCTCCCTGTCAGCCTCTTAATCCCGGAACCAGCAGCCAAAGAATCCTCAATTGCAAAAGAGGGAAACAAAGGGACAGGTTTTCTGATGGAAATGGGCCAGGAAGGGGACCCACGTGCCCCATCCCCACCTTGGCCCCAGCCCAGAGCACTCAGTGCCACGGCCAGTCCTGCCCTGGGCACCTCCAGGGCTGGGCACTCCCCCACCTCCCTGGGCAGCCCCTGCCAAGGCCTGAACACCCTTTCCAGGGGGAAATTCCTCCTCATGGCCAACCTGACCCTCCCCTGGCACAGCTTGAGGCCGTTCCCCCTCCTCCTGTCCCTTGTTCCCTGGGAGCAGAGCCCGACCCCCCCCCGGCTCCCCCCTCCTGTCAGGGAATTCCAGAGCCAGAAGGTCCCCCCTGAGCCTCCTTTTCTCCAGGATAAGCCCCCCCAGCTCTACATTTTGTGGTGGCTCCTGGCCACCCCCACACACAACCCCGGGGCCATCCAAGGGGGGGGCAAAGCCCAGGCTGGACAAACCAAAGCCTTTGTGGCATCTGCAGTGCTTCTGGCACAGCCCGAGGTGACCCATGAAGGCTCCCAGCAGGGTGGAGGAGGGGACACCCACATCTGGAAGGGGTAAGTCGCACATCTGGAGCCCAGCACACAAGCCCAGATGGCCAAAGCTCTTCACTGGGGGGAAAAGGGGATCAGGGGGAGGAAAGGAGATGTAGAACCATGAGAAGGACGAGCTCAGAGCGGGGCCGGGGCTGCTCCCACAGTTTATAGCCCTGGGCTGAGTGTGCCCTGTGGCAGCCCAGGAGGGCTGGCTGGGTGCACAAGGAAGTGGCTCCACAACCCCACCCCGAGCAGGAACGCGGCTGAAACCCCGCTCAGGATTTACTGGGGAGGGGAAGGGACGAGGGTCCTGCGTGACAGCCCAGTGCGGCGGGTCCTGCCCCCGGGGGGGGGTCAGACGCTGACTCTGCCTGAGCTTCGCAGTTACGGCTAAAAAAGAGTCGTTCAGCCTTTGTTGCCGCTCCCGGAGCCGCTAATCCCTGGGAAACCTCCCGCCTCGCTCTGTGCGGCCGTGAACAGCTCTCGGGCTGCGGGGCGTTCAGAGCCCGCCGCTGACTCATCCCGAGCGGCTGCCAGGGCTCGGCTCGCGGGCGGTTCCCGAGGGCTCAGGGAACGCGGTGTCCACACCAAGGCAGAGCAGAATCCACTCTGGGACCTCCCTCGTTCCCACTCCTCATCCCGTCCCTGCAACCCGCCCGAGGGAGAGAATCGGGGTCTCGCCCACGGCCACAACACCCCATCCCTGGGGCACGAGACCTCCGTGGCAAAGGGAGCAGGGACTTGGTTGAAATCGCTATTTATTGAAATGGCATCAGGAGGACAGGGGAAGGGCCCGGGGAAGGTGCTCCCCGCTCATTTCCTGCGCGGCATCTTGTCCGGGAGGTCCTGGAAGAAGTCGTTGCACATCATGGCCATGCAGGCCAGGAAGGTCACGTACTCCTGGAAGTCCACCTCGCTGTCGCTGTTGCAGTCCAGGTTGCTCATGAGCTGCTGTAAACTGGCCTCGCTGGTTTGTTTCTGCACGGGGGAAAAACGGGGTTAAAATCGGGGTTCGCATCCAGGGCCACATTCCCAATCCTGGAATTGCCCCTGGACGTGGCACCTGCTGCCCTCCACTCACACTGAAGCTCGGCAGCTCCTTCAGGAGCATCTCCTTGAGCTCGGCCTTGCTGAGCTTGTACTTGTCCCCCTCCTTCCCAGAGTACTTGTGGAAGGTGGTGACCATCACGGCCAGCGCCTGCTCCAGGGGACTCGCCATGGGGACACCGGGAGACCTGGAGAGACAAACAGCTGAGAGCAGAGTTTGGGCCTCCCCCGTGCTGGGGGGCAACAGCATCTCCCACCCCCAGACCAGTGCCCCATTCCTGGGCACACACTGGGATGCACCGTTCCCTCCCTATTTCCAGCTTCCAGCCAGGTTGGAGAACCCCCAAAAAGGCCGTGTCAGAGGGGAAAAGGGGGGGCCACAGCCCCTTCCCACCCAGGCCAGGCAGGGGAGGGGCTCAGGTGCTTTTCCAGCCCTCGGAGGTGAAATCCAGCCTTGGAACTCGGCTCCCCCAGCAGGAACCTCCCTCTCATCCCCGAGGGAAAACCTCTGCCAGGGGACCCCGCTGTGGGATGCGCCACCGGCAACATCTGGAGAGCAGCTGGATGGGGAATCGCGGGGAAAATTCAACTCACCGAAAGCTCAAAGGGAACAGCGGAGGACGGGAAGGGCGGGAGAGGAGACGGAGCCGGGCCACGGGATTTATAGCCCCGCCTGGGCCACCTCCCTCGGCCCCGGGCGGGGAGGAACCAACGATCCAGCGCCCGCTGGAAAAGGAGGAGAGGAAAGCCCGGGAGCAGCCCTGCCTGCCCCCCTCCCCCCCCAGTTTTCCTGCTCCTGGGGGTTGGTTGGGGTTAGAAAGAACAAAACGTGCCCCTGGGGCTGGGCAGGGACCTCCCGGTCCAGGAGAATCCCTGGGCACACGGGATGAGCGGCGGGCACCGCATCCCACCTGTGCCAGCGCGGGCAGGTGGGGCCACACGCAAGGGTTTTGGCAGCATCCTGAGGGATTCTGGAGCCCAGCAGGGTCTGTCCATGGGGGGGGGGGGTTGTGCTGAGAGTTTTTCTGTCTGTTTTTGACTCTCCTGGCAGCGATTTTGTTTCCTGGCTCCGAGGGCAGCATCACAACGCCCCGTTGTGTAACCCGGTGCTATTTCGGTGCCTGCGTGGCCCAGGCACGTGTCAGGAGCTGTGGAGAACACCAGGAACCGGCAGTTTCCAACCCCCCAGACGTGGGCTGAGGGCTGACAAAGCCCTCGAGTGCCCCCCCAGCCCCCTCACAGGGGACCTGCTGCTGTGGGGAACAGAGACAGAAAAGCAGGGGATGAAGCTCCAGGCTGCTCCAAAGCTCAGTGGGATGTGAAAGCTCCCCAGACACCCCCTGACATCTCCCCAGGTCGGCGGTTTCTTTACATTTTGGCAGGAGAAACCCCCAGCCTGAACCTCCTCCCCTCATCAGTGCAAACTGGTGTGAGTTGCTGGGAGGGGCAGAAGCTCCTGGGGCTCTTCATAAAGACTCTGGGAAGGGGCAGAGCAAAGTTTGGAGCTGCTGGGCGGGTGCTGGAAGGACCTGGAGGGGCTCAGCGAGGACCTGGTAGGGCTCAACGAGGACATGGGGGCCCTGGGGAGGACCTGGAGAGCTCAAGGAAGGACCTGGAGGGGCTCAAGGAAGGACCTGGAGGGGTTCAAGGAAGGACCTAGAGGGGCTCAGGGAAGACCTGGGCCCTTGGGGACAGGCTCTGCCAGGGGTCTGCTCTGTCATGGAGTGGTGCAGAGGCTTTGTGAGGGCTTTTTAAATCTGGGATGGTTCCTGTGGAAAAGCCAAAGAGCAGCTGCTGCACCTTCTGCAAACCAGCCCAGACCTGCCCAGAGCTGCCTCAGCGATGGGAGGAGGAGGAAGGGGAACCCTGTGGCTCCCAGTCACATCCCAGGAAATTCCTGCCTGTCTGTGGCCCCGGGGCTCCCTGGAGAACTCAGGGGGGTTGGATTGACCTCCAGTGCAGCCCCCCAGCACGGGCCCACCCCCAGGAGGGCTGAGGGTCTCCTGGAGGGGTCTGGGGACACGCTCTGGGTTCGTGTCTCTCTGTCCAGTTCCTCCACCCCAGTTTCTCTCTCCAAACCCAACGAGGTGCCCAGGGCAGCTCGTGCCTGCCTAAAACCCACGGTGGGCACTCAAACCTCAGCTGTTTCACCCCAAAGTGCACTGAGTCCCTCCCTGAGCCAGCAAGGACAGCTCAGGGGGGGCATCCAAGCAGCTCAGACTGTTTTGCTCAGACTCCTCCAGAAAATGCCTTCTGGGGCTGCATCAGAGTATGGAAAATCCCAGGGAGCTGGAGGAAGGTATGAATCACCCTCTGCCCGTTACCCAGCAGGCACAGAACCCCTGGAGCACACCCAGAACTGGGGAAAGCTTTTATTGAAAGCCCCTCTGGGCAGGGGTGGGGGGTCACTTCCTGCGGTGCTGCTTGCTGGGGTCATCCTTGAAGAAGTCGTTGAAGCCCATGGTGATGCAGGCCAGGAAACACACGTACTCCTTGAAATCCACCTCGCTGTCCTTGTTGTGGTCCAGGTCGTTCACCAGCCGCTTGAATTCCGCCTCATCCATTTGTTTCTGGTGGGGCATGAGAGGTTTTGGGGTGTCCCCAACCTGCCCTTCCAGCCCTGCTCCCCTCCCCCTGCCTGGAAGGAGGGTTTTCCCTTTGCCTTTGGAAGGAGGTGGCCTGGAAAGCTGCACCTGTGACAGGGCAGTGCTGGAGCAGCTGCACCAAATGTGCCTCTGGGATGTGGAAAAGTTGGGCTAAAAAACTTCTCCCTCTTCCCAATTTAAACCACAAGGTTTTAAAGAAGGGGAAGTTGGGGGTTAAAAAAAATTATTATAAAATGGAAATCAGAGCGTGATTTCCTTTGCCAAACTAAATATTTCTGGGGGCATAAAAAAAGCCAAATTTCCTTTTGGGCTGAGGCTGCTCCAGCTCAGCTCCTCCTGGTCTCATCCTTCCTCCTCCTCCTCCCCAGGGCTCTCCCCGGAGCATGAGGCTTCTCTGGGCTGCATCCACCATTCTAACACCTCCCACCCTTCCCCGGGCACCTCCAAAGGCCACCCAGGGATGTCCCTTGTGGCCACTTACGCTCCCGAAGATGGGCAGCTCCTTGTTCAGCAGGTCCTTGAGCTCGGCCTTGCTGAGCTTGAACTTGTCCCCCTCCTTCCCCGAGTACTTGTGGAAGGTGGTGACCATCACAGCCAGTGCCTGCTCCAGGGGACACGCCATGGCCAGCCTGGGGGGCACAGCAGGACAGGGGCTCAGGGTCTGTGCCCCCCACCCTGCCCGGGCCGTTCCCCTGCAGCCCCCGTGGCCCTCGGGAGGGTTTGGGGTGTGGGGAGGAAGAGGAGCAGAGACTCACCTGGTCAGCAGCCCTGAGGACACACAGGATGCTGCAGCCAGGGCAGGATGGGCATTTATAGCCCCATGGGGGTGGCACTGCCCCTGTGCCCCCCCGGGCTTTCCCAGCAGCTCCACCAGAGTGGTTTCGCCCGCACCCCATTTTTGCCTAACGAGCTGTGTGATCCCATTAGAGGGGGGGGATTTGGGTGCTGGTGGGGTCACCAGCCCATGTGCCCCCTAAACCATCACTGCACTGTCCCTCACACCCCCAGCATGGGTGGTCCTGAGCGATCCCTTCCTGGTGACCCCAAACCAAGGGAATATTTGGGGCAGGGGGGTGACAATGGATTTATCTGAGCCATGGGCTGGGGTTTGGTGCTGCCTGGTGGGTTCCTGAGCTTTAGCACCTGCTTAGCACCAGGCACAGGGTCAGGATTTGTGCTCCCCTAGGAGAGCCACGTCCCCCTTCCAGTCCATCACCTTGTCCTTGTCGTTCTCCAGGTCCTTCAGGAGCACCCAGAAGCTGAGCTCATCCCCTTGTCCTTGGCACAGAGGGTCACTGAGGTCAAGGACCAGGGCACAGGGGGGCATCAGCCATGCCAGGGGGGTTTGTGTGGTGTCCCACCCTTAAGAAGGAGGGATCACCCAAGATTCTCTGGGATTCCATAGCTGGACACATGGGGGGACCTGTTTTAGGGAGCAGCAAGACCTTCTCTGCCCCCCACACCCTCCCAGGGGTGGGAAGGGACACAAGAAAGGGGAATATTCTGAAATGTTTCCGTTTGCTGCACCTAGAAGTGAGGTGTTGGGGTTTGGCTGCCCCCACGCTGAGGGTCCGTTCCGGAGGGACCCCGAGGATCGAGGCTGGATCGCTGGGATTCCATGGGAGCGGCGGGAGCGGGGCCCAGCCCAGCCCCACAAACCGCGGGATGAGTCACGGCCCGGCCCTCGCCCCACGGGGATTCCTCGGCCGTGACTCAGCCGCGGCCCTGCCCCGCTCCCACGGCGAGAATCCCGGTTTTCCGGGGACCCCCGGAGCTGCGGGGCCGGGCAGAGGGGGCTCCGTGGGCAGGGGGACAGGCAGGGGACAGAGATGTTCCTGCAGCGGAACGAGAGCAACGAGGGGTTGGCTGGGAGGGGATGGGGGCCGCGGTTTCACGGTGCCGTCACGCCCCTGCCGTGCGAGTGGGGCGAGTGGGGGGCAACCACCACGCTCGTAGGTCCACGCCCAAGTCCCTTCCCAGTGGAAAATCCCCGGAAGAGCCGGAGCGGCTCGGGCTCCCTGCCCGCACCGTGGGCGTTGCGGAGCGCGACGAGCCCAACCCTGCTGAGCACGGGGGTCCCTGGGGGTCTTTGGGGGTCCCTGGAGGTCTCGGCACAGCTTTGCCCCGTCCCCATCCCGGGTGGGGGGTCTGCAATGTGCCGGGATGCAGGACGGGAAGGGGGGTCCCCCGAGACCCCCTCCGGGGTCGGGGCAGCCGCGGAGCCGCTGGAATATGGAGCTGTAATTCCGGGCTGCCGGGGACCCCCTTGGGGACACAAAGGGGGTCCCCCAGGAGAGCTGTGGCAGCGGCCGCCAGCCCTGTCCCCAGGCAGAGGGTTGCGTTGGGTTGGGGTGTGGTGGGCGCTGGGAGTGCGCGGTGTCTGCTGACACCTCGTGGTGCTCCGTCAGCCCCGCGGTGACCGGGACGGGCGTTGTCACCGGGGTGTGACTGTGCGGGCGGTGGGGGACAGGGCAGACCCCCTCCCTCGGCCCCCCCGCCCCCTCGGAGCACAGGGAAGGCAGAGCCTCAGCGTCACCCGCTGCTCCTCCGGATTTTATTGCCGCAATAAATAACCACGGGGGTGTCACCCGAGGGGGCCGCGCCGAGCCCCGAGCGCCGGCCGGGATACTCCCTCCACCAGCCCGGGCACGGGGAAAGGCCCCCTTTGCCCAGGAAGACCCCCCGCTCTGAGGGGGAGCTGCAAGGGGAGAGGGGGGTCCCGGCTGTGACGGGGGTTCTGCCAGCGGAGCTCTGAGAACAGGCAGAACTCGGGTCCCACATGAGGAGAAACCTCTTCCTTTGCTTCTCGCCCGACAGGGCTCGTGGAAGGGGAGGAGGGCAGGGCAGGCACGGCGAGGAGGAGCCTCGCGTCCCCAAATCCCACCCACAGGGTCGTCCCGCCTCCGTCACAGCCCGGCACGGCTCGGTCGGCAGAGCCCTGGGGAGCCGAGGTGGCCCGGGGCGAGCTGGGGCTCGGAGAGGGCACAAAGCGGGGGGGGTCGTGGAGAAGCAGGGGGGTCCAGGAGGGTCCTGTGCAGCGGCTACTTGGTGAATTTGATGCTCTGCTCCTGCTGGCGGATGATCTGGGCGATGGGGCTGGCGATGCCGCCTATCAAGGTCCAGTACTCGTCGAAGCTGATGCGCCCGTCCTTGTTCTCGTCCAGGTCGCAGATGAGCTTGTCGGCTGCGCGGCGGTTCCCGGTGTCCTGGGGGGGGAGGAGCAGAGCCGCTCACACCGGGGTGCGGGGCAGAGGGACCCCCTGGGAGCTGCAGGGGCAGGACCCCCCGGCCCCGCCCGCCCCGCGCTCACCGTCAGCATGTGGTTGAGCTCCCGGCTCAGCATCTTGCGGAAATCCTTCTTGCTGATGCGCCGCGGCTTCTTGCAGCAGCAGCAGCGGCTCGAGTACTTGTCAAAGTTGTTCACCAGCACCTGGACGGCCCATTCCAGCTCCGTGCACTGCGACATCGCTGCCTGAGGGGGCAGGGGCAGGGACGGTGCTGAGGGACCCCCCCATGGCAGCCCAAAGCTCAGAGCTGAGCGGGGGGGTCAGCACGAGCCTCCCAGCAGGTGAAACCAGCCTGGGACCAGCCATGGATTCAGCCTGGAATCAGCCATGGACTCGGCCTGGAGCCAGCCATGGATTCAGCCTGGAATCCATAGGAAGCCTGGAACCAGCCATGGATTCAGCCTGGAATCAGCCATGGATTTGACCTGGAACCAACCATGGATTCAGCCTGGAATCAGCCACGGAAAGCCTGGAATCCATGGGGAGGCAAATAGGTGGTGGTGCCTGGGTGCTCATCTCCCCACATGGTCCAGGATCACGCCAAAACCCCTGGGTGCCCCCCGTGCCCACCCCGCCCGCCCCCCGGCAGCCGCCCCCACGCGTGTGGGCCGGGTGGTAATTATGGCCACGGGGCTGAGCAGGGCCTGGCTGCCCTTCCCAGGGCTCATTAGGCAGGAATGGGGCCGGGAGCTGTGGCGGGATACGGGCAGGAATTACCAGCCAGCCCTCCTCTTGCTTCACAGCTCCAGGAACAGCCCAGCAGGGCAGGGCTGGGCCCACCCGAGCCCCCCACAAGCACAGCCCAGGCTGCCCCCCAAATCCCGGGGGTCCAATCCTGCCTGATCCCTGCCCGGGGTCTCCGTCCTCTCTCCTCCGTCCCGAGGCTGCCCCAAGCCAGGAAGCTCCGACAGGATGGGCCCGACAGGATGGTCCCTGTCACGGGGTCCGGCGGCCACATCCCAGGAAGGCAGGGACGGGAACTGCGTCACCTTGTCTGCTCGGGGCCCTTTCCTACCTGGTCAGTGGCCAGGACTTGGAGTGTGTTGCTCCCTGTTGTTCCAGGTGGATTTACACCAGCCCTGGGTTCCAGCACTGACCATTGTGGCACCGGTGGCCACATGGGTGTTGGAGGAAGCCAACGGGGTGGGCTGTGTGGAGCCCCAAGGGGTGGCCCAGCGCTGTCCCCCTCTCTGGGGACACCTCCAGAGGGTGTTTGCAGCCCAGGGAACAGGCAGGACCTGCCCCATGCCCCAGCCTTGGCTCCTGTCCCCTCCCTTTGCCCTGACCCTCCCCAGTTCAGCCCCAGGCCGAGGACAGTGCCACGTCAGGGTGGTGACACGAGACAGGAGGCTCAGCCCCAGGCTCGTCCTTGTCCCCAGGTGTCCTTCCAGGCCATCCCTCTCCCTGTGGGAGCCCCTGCTGTGCCACACTGCCACGGCCCAGGGTCACTCTGTCATTCCGTCATTCCGGGACCGGGGACCATCCCCGGCTCTCGGCACTCTGGCCTTGGAGCTGTCCCAGCACTGGCAGGGCCACGAGAGCCTCTCACCAGAGATTCTGGCTCCTCCCGGGTCATTCATCACCAACAGAGGGGATCCAGCAGCACCAGGGCATGAGCACCCCTTGCACTGCCACCCCTGCACCCACTGAGGACCCCAATTTGGTGTCACCAGTCCCCTGCCACCAGCACCCAGCCTGTCCTCAGGGCATCGTGGCGGCTGCTCCGCCGCTGACTCATGGCACCGGCCCGGCAACCATGGAGAGCCCCGGGGCCAGCTGGGGGCACAGGGACACCGTGACCAGGGTGGGGCACAGGGACACTGGTACCATGGTGGGACACAGGGGCACTGGCAGTGGGGTGGGACATGGGGGCACTGGCAGTGGGGTGGCACACAAGGACACTGGCACCACAGTGGGACAGGGGGACACTGGCAGCAGGGTGGGACACAGGGGCACTGGCACCACAGTGGGGCATGGGGACACCACTGGGGTGGGATACGGGGACCGGGAAGGGACTCTGACGCTGCAGTGGGACATGGAGACACTGTCACCACAGTGGGACATGGGAACACTGTCCCCGGGGTGGGACACGGGGGCACTGGCACAGCTGGGCACCACGTGAGCAGGATGGGACTCGCCAGCTGCTCCACTCCCACCACCACGGTCCCGTCGCTTCTCCCTCTCCTTTCCCCTCTCCTTCTCCCTTCCCTCTCCTTCTTTCCCTCTCCTTCTCTCCCTCTCCCTCCTCACACAGTCACATCTGCCTGGAGCCAGGACCTGCAGCTGGACACAACCCCAGCACTCCCTGTCCCCCTGCCCAGCACCACAACAGGAAAATCCCCCTTTTCCAGAAGCCAGACCCCACTGGCAGCCCCAGGTCAGGCTCTCCAGAGACAAGGGAGGCCGACAGATGCAGAGCACCCTCCTCCCATCCCAGATCCCCCCCGTGATCCCCCAAATCCCCCCAGTCCCCTCCACCCCGGCCCCGCGTGCGGAGCTGCCGAAGGACTCGGGGGATTTCCAGCACCCAACGTGCAGCAGCACATCCCAGGCCTGCTCCTGGTTAAATATTCACCCCAAAAGGGGCTTCCCCATCCCGGGGGAACTGGAATTCCCGCTGGAGCCTCACCTGGCTCATTCTGGGGGTCCTGCTGTGTCCACCTGACGCCGGTTTGGCAGCTGGGAGCTGATGTCGCCCGTTCTCTGCTCACCTTGGACCCATCCCGCAGGCCCAGCCAGGTTTTTAAAGAGGCTCCCACCCCTCCCTGACGTTCCCAGGGCGTTCCCAGGCCTGGGCTCACCTGGGAAAGGGCTCTCTGGGATTGCAACACCGGGACGGGTTGGTGCGAGCTGGGACCCGCGGAGGCTTCAGCTCCTTCCCAGGGGCTGCTCTGTGTGTTCGTGGCTGGGGAGGTGTTTGGGGACCACCCCAAAAGACCCCGCTGGATGGATGGCATGGTGGTTGACCAGGCACAGAATTCCAGCCTGATCCCAGGGTTTGCAAACCCATCCAGCTGTGCATCAGCCAAAAGCCTGGCTCCTCCATCTCACAGCTCATCCCACCACACCCCCAGCTCCAAACCACCTCTGGATCTGCCTGGCAAGACAGGGAACATCATTTTTTTGAACCAAAACCACTTGTTCTCGTGGGTGAAAGGGGCTGACATGGGTCTAGGGGCCCTGGGAGCACAAGCACCATCTCCGGGCAGGGCCATGCCCAGCTCTTGGCCATGTCTGGATGCACTGGGATGGACAAGGCTCTTCCCAGCTGGGAGCTGGGCTTGTAAAGTCCCATCCATAATTAATTGTGCCAGCAAATTGCACCTCTGGTGTCTCCCAGATTCGATGCCGAGATCAGATACGGGCGTTATTGGGAAGGGCAGATTTCGAGATGCAAAGCAGGAGGTGATTTATTACAGGCAGGAGCCACCTGCTCCCAGGACCTCTGGAACTCCCATCCCGGAAAAAACATGTCATCCCAGCTCTCCCCGTGGCTCCTTCCTAATCTCGGTTGGGAGGAAGCAAAAACCTGTTCTGGGCCGAGATGCTCCGGTGTCGTTCGTTGATGCAACATCCCGGGAGGGTGGGAATCCCTCCCGGACCCTGCAGGCAAACAGCTCACCCCTGAATCATGGGCTTTCATTACTCTCCTCTGCTGGCAGATGTCACAACCACATCCAGGCCCTTATTTTTACAAGGCATCCAGGGCGTGTGCGTGTGCTCGGAGCAGCCACGTACCATCCTGGCCCATCACAAAACACTTCCCACCAATTGGTGAGGTCAGAGTCCCCCCTGGTCCCCACCAACTCCAGGCCTGAAGGGCCAGGAGGTATTTGGTGTCTCCTGGACAAGCTCTGCACCAAGGGAGCCTTTGCAGAGCCCTGGATTTGGGGGTCTTTGGCGAGTTGCCCAGTGCTGTGTCCTCACCGAGGGGCACCGACTGCCCCGGCGTGGACTGAGCTGCTCCCACCACCTCCAAGAACTTTCCAGATACTCATCAGGGATGGCTCACGGCGCAGGAATTGTCCTCCTGACAGCACACCGTCACACCAGGGACAAACTCAGCGGCCCAGAAGTCCCCACTCCCACGGCACATTCCCAGACAGGTGCCGGGAAGAGGATCCGGGAGCCCCGGCTCCCCTTTCCCCCCCACACCACCCCGACCATTTGACACATTTCCTGTCTCTAATTAAATGCACGCCACACCTTTCTGCTTAATTTCCATGCATTTATTTCCAAGGCAGGAACAATAAATAGTCATTCCCGTTGTGAAATCCACCCCAGGCCGAGAGGAGACAGAGGGTGGCCCTGTGGCCGAGCCGCGGTGCCGGAGCCGCCGCCGGCCCGGCAGGACCTGCCCAGCGCCACCTTTTATCGCCTTTCGTTGGGGTTTGGATCAGTTTTGGTTTGCTCACCTCTGGTTTCTTCCCTCCCAAAGTGCTGCTGAGGTGCCCACAGCCTGTCCCTCTTTGGGACACCCCTTTTAGGGGTCCCCACTGCGCCTTCAGGACGTGGAGCTCAGTGGGAATGGCCCGGTGTCGGAGGGAAGGTGGGATAACCGGGTTCTCCAGCCCATTTCTTCACTCCCCATTCACTAATTGCCCCATCCCAGGGAGCCACAGCTTTGTGCCATTTACTCTTTCCCAATTTGCTGTAATTAGCCCCAAATCCCACGTTCTCCCAGTACAGGTGGGATCTTGCTGGCTCACAGCTCTCAACTCTTTCCAAGCCTGGAATTTCGGGATCTCCTCTGAGCTCCCTCCTGCCCAGCACGGAATCACATTCCCAAAGCCCTTGGGGTGCCTGTCCAGAGCATGACCCCACAGCTGGGACCGCCAGGCACCACCACCCCAGGAACTGGGAATGTGGAAGCCCTGTGCACCCCTGCAGTGTCCTGACACACCCAGGGGGTCACACACCCCCACGTGTCCCCACACACCCGTGGGGTCCCACACACCCACAGCAATCCTTGCACACCTCTGGGGTCCCTTGCACACCCACAGCCCCCTTTGCACCCCCATGCTCTGCCCAATCCAGAATGACCCTCAGCACCACGACCCTGCAGCCCCCTCTCCCCCCTTTTCCCCCCACTTTCCCTCCCCCACCAGGGACAAACAAGGTCACTCCATCCTGGTTGTTTGGCTTTTTTCTTTTCCAGTGTTTTCCTTTATTAATTTATACAAAAATGGTTGCAAGTGGCACAAGCTGAGACCAACCCGCCCCCGCCCCGAGCCCGGGGGCCACAATCCCTGGAGACGGGGAGCACCAGGAGGGCAGCACATCCCGGGATAGCCCCCAGAACCCTGGTCCCTGCACCGGGGGGACAGCAGGGAATACACCCCGGCCACGTGCACCCACCCACGGCCACGGCAGAGCCCGGGATGCCCCCGGAGGTGCCCTCGGGTGCCAGGGCACAGGGCTGGGGGGATGAGCCCACACTTCCAAGGGGATTTTGGGGGGAAAGGAGCCGAGTCCCTCTCTCTGTGATGCTCCTCCAGGGCTGGGGGTCCTGCAACCGGAGAGTTTCCAGGGCGGAGGTGGGACAACCCCAGGGATGAAAGCGCTGGAGCAAAAGGAGGGAGAAAGGCTCCGGAGCCAGGTCAGGAACCCCCATTACCACCTCCCTCCCACCGTGGCACGGAGCTGGGGATGAGAAGGGGGTTTCCTGACGGGAAGGAGAGCCAGGAGAGGGCAGGGATGCGGCTGAGGAGGGGGATCCCTCCACCCCAGCGGGAGGGGACGAGCCCTGGCAGGAGCAACGTTGTTTTTTCCCAGGCTCATCCCACCAGGCCCCGCTGCCCCTCGTGCTCCTCGGTGCAGAGCCTGAGGCCTCGGGCACCTTCCCGTCCCCCACCAGCTCCTACTTCCTCCTGCAGCCCTTGGCTGCATCACCCATCATGTCCCAGTACTCTCCAAACTCCAGCTTGGCCTCGTTGGGGTCTCCCATGCACTCGATCTTCTCTTCCAGTGGTCCCACACACTGCAGGGGGGGCAGAGAAAACATCGGGGTGAGGGGGCTGTGAGGTCCTATGCCCCCCCCAGCCCCTCCTGCCCAGCCCAGGGCTCTGCCCTCACCTTGCCCAGGTGGGGCAGCTTCTGCACCACCAGGTCCTGCATCTCGCTGGGGGTCAGGTACTCCTTCTGCCCCTTCACTGCGTAGCAGTGGAACTGGCTGATGACAGTCTCGATGGCCCGTTCCACGTCCGTGAGCTCCTGGCAGTCCTGGGGGGGCACAGGGGGTGAGTACTGGGGGCAGAGTGACCTGGAGGGATGGGACCCCTCCCCAGAGGGATGGGACACCCCAGGGTGCACAGGACAAGCCCTCAGTATGTGGGACACTCCCTGAGGAGTCCCCAGTGATGGGATAAAGCTCCTTATCAACACCAGACCTCTCTGCAAGGGTGTAAGACCCCCCCCCCCCCATACAGATGTGAGACCTCACTGTCCAGATGTGAGACCCCTCATACAGGTGTGAGACCCCCTCTAGAGATGTCAGGGCCCACTGTCCACACCTGAGACCCCCATACAGGCATAAGACCACTCCAGACAGGTATTCCACCTCTCCATACAGATATTCCACCTCTCCACAGACATGTTCCACCCCTCCACACAGATGTTCCACTGCCCCACACCGGCCCTGCCCGGCTGCAAGACCCCCTCCAGCTGCCACCTTGACACGCCACCCCTCCCTGCAGGCCTGTCACCCCCCAAATCTCCTTTCCTGGCCCCCTCCTTGCCCGGGCCCCCCGAGGCTCAGCCACCCTGGCGTCTCAGCTACACCCCTGGCGCGGGGGCCGCGCCGTCCTGACTGGTTCTTCCTCTCCTCGGCACAAGTGGCAATGGCACGATGAGTCAGTGCCCGGGACGACGCCTGGGATGGGGTTTGGCAGCTCCCAGAGCCCCTGTCCCACCCCAGCAGACCCCGTTCCCAGCGGGGTGGGGGGCACAGACTGGCACAACCTCCGTGCCCAGCTCTCCAGCCACTGCGTTCGGAGGGAGCCGATGCTGATTCACTCAAATCTGCGGTTTTCCCTCAAAACCGCATCGGGCAATGCCCATTAGGAAGGACCTGGCAACCTCCAGAGCCTCATCCCGGCGCCCTAAATCCTCCACAGGTGCAAAGGGGTGCAGGGTGGACACCTCCCAGTTAAAAGCCGAGGAAAACAGGAGCCTTCCTGCTCCTCTCCATCCTTGCAGAGGCTCCCGAAGGTGGATCCCCGGCAGCTGGAAAAGGCTGCCTGCTTCCCTGAGCTCCCGAGTGGCTCCAAACCCGCAGCACCAGGTCCCCCTGCCTGGGACGGCAAGTCCAAACCCCAAAACAGCCCCCAGCTCCTCCACCACACTCTGGCTCCGGGATGGGGCAGAGTCAGGGCTGTGCCCCCGGGGTGGGGACATGTGGGGTCACCCCACACCCCGCCGGGGGTCCCGCTCGAGGACCTTGCGCTTCTTGCGGCAGTTGCACTGGCCCATCCTGCTCCTCGCGGCGTCCGGGGGGTCCTCGGTGGCACCGGGGGGGTCTCTCCTCTGCGATGGGATCCGGAGGAGCTGTCGGAGGGGGAAAGCCCAGCTCAGCTCTCGGCTCTCAGGGATCTCCCAGGACTCCTCCTCATCCCGGAGGAAGGTGAGCTGCCAGGACACGTCCCGGCGGCAGCGGCGTCCCGGCAAGTCGCGGCAGAGCCGAGCGTGGGAGCGCGGGGGAGACCCCGAGCACAGCCCCCCGGCCCACGAGGGGCCACTTACCTGCTCCGCGGGCTGGGCGGGTGTGCCGGGCTGTGCTGCACCGGCGTTTTATACCGCGGGAGGTGTGAGTGGGAGCTCCCGGTGCTCATTTCGGAGCCTGGCCCGGGGCCAGCGTGGGGCCGGGAAACGCCTCCTTTCCCGGCCACATCCAGGGCTCCCCCAGCCAGCCCGGCACGGCAGCGCCGCGTGGGAACGGCCACCGGGCACCCCCGGCTCGGGAGGGTCACGGGATGGGTCACCCCGTGATGGGGTCTCACCGTGTCCCTGCTGGGGGGTTTGGGAGCTGGACAGCAGGATGGGGACATTCCCGAGCCAGGGATGTGCTGTGCTGATGGATTTCACCATATCCCAGCACCACTGGGATTTGGGAGCTGAACACTGGGAATGGGGACATTCCCGAGCCAGGAACAAGCTGTGCAGGTGGATGTGTCCCCCTGTGCCACCCAAGACCCCAGAGAGGCTGGCCATTGATGCTGTGGAGGTGGTGGCACCGTGGCCACAGTGGCTACTGTGGCATCACTGCCAGAGCTGCTCCTCAGCCCCACCCTGGTCCCAGCCACATCTCTGCCTCCCACCCACCCCACAGCGCGGCAGGAAGGTGTTTGTGGGGTGTGAGGTGGCACCCCAAAAGCCAGACCACCCCAAAAGCCAGGCAATTTGGGAACACCCCCATCCATCACAGAGTCCCCAAATCCACCACCCTGGGCTGGGCCCATCTCCAGCATGGCCACGGGCAGGGAAGGGGATGTGGGATCCAAACTGGGATCCCCCCTAAGAACAACAGCACTGCTCAGGCTCAGAGAAACCTCTTTTATTTGCTCCACATCAGCTGAGTCTCCCATGGGCCCGTCACTTCTTCCCCATTTTCTCTCTCCTCATGGTCTTGGCCAACTCCCCGATGAGCCGCCAGAACTCCCCAAATCTCAGCTCCTCGTCGTTGTTCACATCCAGCTCGCTCATCTTCTCCTCCAGAGAGGGCACGTCCTGTGTGGGGACACGGGATTAGCCACATCCCAACCCCCAGCGAGCAGGGAGGGGACGGGGGGGCTCCTGAGAGCAAATCCCAGGGGATTCCAAGCAGCCCCACAGCTCTGGGAGATTCCACAGGGATCTAGCCACCCCCTCAGGGTGCTCCCCACCTCACCTTCATCAGGTTGGGCAGATGGAGCTGGACCAGCTCCTTGAACTCGCTGGTGCTCAGGGTGCCCTTCCTGCCCTCCTTGCCCGCGCAGGTGATGAAGATGTCGATGATCTTCTCGATGGCCAATTCCAGCTCGGTCAGTTCGCTCGTGGCCATGGCCCCGCACACGCTGGGGGTGCAGGGACAGGAGCCAGGAGGGGGTTGCACCCTGAGGGGTGTCCCAGGGAGACCCTCTGCCTTCCCCCAGCCCAGGGTGCAGCGGCTCTGAGGGGTCTCAGACCTGCAGGGCTGAGGAGGGTCCCGGGGTCGGGAGCTGCTCCCAAGGGACCAAAAGCTTCAGGCGGGACCACGGGGAGGGGGAGCAGGTCTGAGGGATGACTCAGCTGCCACCTGGCACAGGAGCTGGGATGGGGGACATGGAAAGGGATGAGGAATGTGGGAAGGGATGGGGGGACATGGAAAAGGGATAGGGGGACGTGGGAAGGGATGAGGGGACATGGAAAAGGGATGGGGGGACATGGGAAGGGGACAGGGGAATGTGGGAAGGGGATGGGGGGACACGGGAAGGGATGGGGGGACATGGGAAGGGGCTGAGGGTGTGTCAGGGGTCCCCAGTGCCACAGTGGGGCCGGGATGAGGGCATGGGAAGGGGCTGGGGGCGTGTCAGGGGTCTCCAGCGGCGCTGCCGTGGCCGGGGTGGGGTCAGCGCTGCAGCAGCGACTCCCCACTTACCCCTCGCTGTGGTCAGAGAGCTGCGGGCGGGTCGTGGCCCCCGGGAGGTGTCGGGGGGGTTGGGGAGGTTTCGGGAGGTTTTATAGCCACGCCGCAGGAGGGGACAGCGCAGCCTTTGTCCCCCCCTCCGCGGTGTTGGGTTTCCTGGTGCGGCCGGACGGACGCACAGACACCGCCTGACGTTCTCCTCCTCCTCCTCCTCTGCTCCCTCCCGACGTGGGCACCGGACCAAACTCGGCCCTGCCGGGCTGAACTTCCCGCGGCCCCGGCGGCCTCGGGAAGGTCCAGGGGAGCAGGATGGGACCAGGGGCTGAGGGGAGGGACACGAGGGCACAGAGGATCCCACAGGGTTTGAGCATCACCCGATTTCACGGAATCATTTAGGCTGGAAAAGATCCCCAAAATCATCGAGTCCAACCTTTGAAGGTCATCAAATCCAGTTTTTGAAGGTCATCAAATCCAACTTTTGAGGATCACCCAGTCCAAGCTTTGAGCCCCTTCCCAGGGGTGCAGGGCAGGTCTCACCCCCAGTCCATCCCAGCACGGATGATGCCCAAATTCCCTGTTCCCATCCTGCTCTGGCTCATCCCAGCCCAGATCCAGCAGTGCCACCGAGCCAGAGTGAGAGTTGTGAGTCAGCTCCCGCTGACATCATCCCTATTAATAGTGGGCTCTGTAAAAATTAATTAATCCAAATTAATTAGGGGGTTGGGACCCGAGCGCTCCCCTCTAATCAGTGCGTATTTATAACATGGCAGCCCTGGCACTTTTCCACCTGGGAGAGGGAGCAGCCCCAACATTCCCATGGGGACTCTGGGCATGACCCCAGACAAAGCCCCAGGCCTGGCCCCGACGTCCCTGATTGTCACCCACCCCATCCCTGTGTCCCACACAGAGCAGGGGTGGGACGAGCAGCCCCCCAGGACAGCACAGGGAGTTTTGGGGTCCCAGAAACCCAGTGATGTTTTGGAAACCCAGGGCAGGGACGTCCCTGGCACAACACCCCTGTCCCCTGCCTGGTTTCTGCTGAGCCCTGACACACTCACTCCACCTCTCCATGGGATGGGGAGGCTCTGATGGCACCTGTTCCCCACCCCACACCCATCACACCAGCTCACGGGGCAGGAATTGGTTTCCTGCAGCCCCATCCGGCCCGGCCCTGGTCCCGGGATGATGGGGGGACAGGGACAGGGACGGCACTTCCTCCGGCCCCACGTCAGGGCCCGGGATGGGCCATTGGGAAACGCCGGGATGAGTCAGGAGCGGCACCGACCGGGCCGGGTTTGGGGTGAATCACTGGCCCCGGAGCCAGGTGGGCCCGTGACTCGCCACCCCTGGAATTTTGGGGTGCCAGGTTTGGGGTGAGGGAGCAGCAGGAGCTTCAGGAGCTGGGGAAAAGGCACCTTCCGGTCAAAGCTGGGATCCCAGTTTGGGGCTGTCCCCGTGGGCAGGGAGGGGTGACCCTGCCAGGGGACCCCCAACACGGCTGGGAGGGGACCATACAGGGACTGGGGGTGTATAGGGACGGGGACCGTATGGTGACTGAGACCATATAAGGACTGGGTCACGTGGGGACATGGGCCATATGGGGACAGGGACAAGGACCGTATAGGGATAGGGGCCATATAAGGGCAGGGACCATATAGGGACTGGGGCCATATAGGGACATTGACCATATAGGAACTGGGGCCATATGGGGACAGGGGCCATATAGGGACCAGGGCCATATAGGACCACAGGACTCCTATATGTGACCACGTGCCTCCCAGGGGTTGGTGTCACCTCCATGTCCTGTCCTGGGGTTGTCCACAACCTCCCAGGGTTGGGGACCCCAACCAGGGGCGGCCACTGTGCCCACCATGGGCCCCTCCAGCTCCACTGGAGGGGACTGTGGGGCAAAACCGGGTGCCCAGTGCCATCCCAGTGCCTCCAGTGTGGCCACGGCAGCTCCTGCCATTCCAAAGCCCAGGGATGGAAAAGCCTCTTCCCTGTCCCAGTGCTGGGACGGAGGGACAAGATGGGCCCGGCCCAGGTAACTGGAGCGACTGGTTTAGCTGGGCTGGAGGGAGCTCAGGGACTCGCAGCAGCTGGAACCTGTTCCAGGTTGTTCCTGGCACGGCCTCACTGCTCCTGCTTTGGAAGGAGCTTGTTCTGGGAATGTGCCAGCCGGGCATGATCTCCCCTCACCACAGCGACCACGGGACCCCCCAAAACCCCAGTGATACCCCCCCAGCAGTGCTGGGGCTCTCCTGGCTGGTCCCAAATCCTGCTCTCCGGGAGGGTTTGGGCTTCATGGGAGCCCTCTGGTCCCACAGCCTGGCCATGTCCCCGTGCCTGGTGCAGGGACCAGGGCCAGGTTATTTTTGGGGGATTGCTGGCCCCGTCACAGGCAGCTGTTCCCCAGCTGGGCAGTCCCAGAGCCGGGCTTTCCCGGAAGGAGCAGCCGGATCCAGGGGACAGGGATACACTGAGTGAGTGCCACCGGTTCCTTCCCATTCCCCCCATTCCCAGGCTCTGGATTTGGCCTCTCCCAAAACTCCAGGCCCCCCTTCCTGCCCCACAGCAAAAATGGGAGCTGTGTCCTGCTGGGAAGCAGCTCCTGAGCTTCCTTTTGGGACCTCCGTTCCACTGGGACCCCCATTTCCATCTGGGACTCACAATTCCATCTGAGATCCCCGCTTCCATCTGGGACCCTCACCCCTGTCTTGGACACCCAATTTCCATCCAGGACCCCCATTTCCATTCAGGACTTCCCACTTCATCTGGGACCCCTACTTTCATCCAGAACTGCCTGCTTCCATCTGGGACCCCCACTTCCATCCGGGACGCCCAACTCCACCCAGGAACCCCCTTCACACCTCCCTCACCTGCCCCAGGAACAGGACAGGGGACCCCCAGGACCCTGCATGTGACCCCAAACCCTCCAGTCCCCCCCCTCCCTGACACAGTGGTGTCAGATGATCTCACTGTGGTTTTGGGGTCCCTGAGTGGGGACCGACCGGGCATTTCCCAACCCCAGGGACAGGAAGTGCAGGAGATGGAAAGGAGGGAGCAGGATATAATTAGCCCCAAATTAGAGCTGGAATTTGGGATAAAGAGCCTGGCACCACCCGGCTCTTGCGAAAAGCAGCTCCCGGCAGCCCCTCTCTGGAGGGTCCCAACCCTTGGAGGGAGATCCCAATCCCTGTGAGGGGTCTCAATCCTTGGAGGGAGATCCCAGCCCCTGTGGGGGGTCCCAATCCCTGTGGGGGGGTCTCCAAGAGGGGGGATGATGATTTTGGAGGCTAAGCTCCCGTGGGGCCACCGGAGCCGGGCAGGCCGTGGGGGTCCAGCCTGTGCGGATCCGGGGCCGTAACGGGAGCCCGGATTATCAGCATTTCCAGGGCCGGCTCGGGAATCTGGTTTCTTGGCCGAGGCGTTGCTGGAGCAACGTCCGGGCTGGAATTGTGGGGCCTTTTGAGAGTGACAAGAGGCCTTTCAGCGCTCGGGGGGCCCCGGGGGACGCGCTGGAGTCACCCGATAGCCCCCTCGGCTCCCCCCGGCCCCGCCGGCTCCCATGTCAGGGCCCAAGACACCGGATCCCTTTCCAGCCCTGGGACAAGGGCTGGGCACAGTCCTGGCACCAACGGCACTGCTGACAGATGGGGGATGCCAGGGGGACCCCGCGGGGTCAGACCCCGGGCGCTCGGGACACGAGGGGTCCGTGGTGACACAAAGGACACCAGGGACACCAGAGACATGAGGGACATGGGCCTGACCCTAACAGCGACCAAATGCCCGCCCCACACTTCCCCAGCATCCCAGGGGTCCAGGCTCATCTATGGGGGTGCACTGAGCCCTCCAAAGTGACGCTGTGCCCACCCCATCCTTTCCCGCCAGAACCCCACAAGCTCCGGTGGGGCTGGAAATACTTTCCAGAGCCATCCCAGTGCCATTCCAGGGGTCCAGACTCATCCCTGGGGGTGGTGAGGGACACATGAGGAGGGCACTGAGCCCCTCAAAGTGACACTGTGCCCACCCCATCCCTTCCCGCCAGAACCCCACAAGCTCCAGTGGGGCTGGAAGTGCTTCCCGGTGCCATCGTGGTGCCATCCCGGGGGTCCAGCCCCCCAGGTCCCAGCCCCCGCGGGGGTGGCCGGTGGTGCCAGCCGGGCTGTCCAGCCCCGGTATCGGATCCTCCCGGAGGGAGGGGGCTTGGAGCTTATTTAGCGTCCCCGGCGGCCCGTCTGGGAGCACTCGCAGCACGGGGAGCTCAGGTGAGCACAGGTGGCCTGTGAGGGGCAGGGGAGGGGTCCCCCCATCCCAGAGGAGCTCCCCACCCAGCCCAGGGCCCCCCACATCCCGTGGGTCGATCCCTGCCCAGCACCGAGGGACGGGAAAAACGTGACACTGCCGGGAAGGGGACGGGGCAGGGAGCGAGGTGTCATTGGAAGGGGAGCTGGTGGATGGGGTCCCTCCCCTTCGGAGGAGCCCCCCACCCAGCCCTGGGGGGCACCAGAGTGCCGTGGGACCCCCAGATTTGCGGTGTCAGTCCCTGCCCAGCACAGAGTGAGCAGAGGGACCAGGACAGGGCAGGGGGTGGGTGACGTTTGGGGGCTGCCCTGTGAGGGGGGAGGTGGAGGGGGTGTCATCCCGGCACTCCAGAGCCCCCCACCCAACCCTGGGAATGCCCAGGATGCCCTGAGACCCCCAGATCCACCGTGTTGATCCCTGCACAGCGACGAGGGACGGGAGCAGGACCAATGTGACGCTGCTGGGAGTGGGAGGGGGAACAGGGTGGGCACACTGAAAGTGGGGCAGGTGCATGGGGTCTTTTCCCCTCGGGCGAGCCCCCCCCCCTACCCTGAGGGGCACCAGGATGCCCGGGGACCCCCAGATCCTGGACCCCTGCCCAGCGGGACCAGGAAACGCTGCCAGGAAGGGGACAGGGCAGGGGGTGGGTGACATTTGGGGGGGGTGTCATTGAAAGGGGGCTGGTGGGTGCCCCCCGTGACGGGGGGGGGGGTTCCCACAGCCAGATCCATGGCGTCACAGCTGGAAGGGGCCATGGAAACCCTCATCAACGTCTTCCACCACTACTCTGGGAAGGAGGGGGACAAGTACAAGCTGAGCAAGAAGGAGCTCAAGGAGCTGCTGCAGAGTGAGCTGGGATGTTTCCTGGAGGTAACTGGGACCAGTTGCAGCACTGGGGGGGTCTCCCCTTCCCCTCTTTCCCCCTGTGCTCACCCTGTGCCCCCCCACCAGACCCAAAAGGACACAGGGGCCGTGGAGAAGATCATGCAGGACCTGGATGAGAACGGCGACGGGGAGGTGGATTTCCAGGAGTTCGTGGTCCTGGTGGCCGCCCTGACCGTGGCCTGCAACACCTTCTTCTGGGAGAACGCCTGACCTGCTGTGCTCCCACCCTGCACACACGGCATTCCCAAAATCCAGACACCTCCCTGCCACCCCCTCTCCGCTCCCCAGCATTCCCACGGGATCCCGCCGGGATCCAGCTCCACAATAAAGGCACCGACCCAGCCTGGGTGTGTTGGCAGCTCCTTCATTCCCAGCGTCCCCCTCCGAGAGCCTCCAGGGATTCCAGGGAGTTTTCCCTCTCCCAAGCCACCCAGGGTCACCCCAAGTGCCTGCAGACATCCCTGGCTCCACCCTGATCCATCCAGGGAGCCTGAAATCCATCCTAGATCGCCCCAGGGAGCGGGTGATCCCGGGCAGTGTTGGGATGTGGGACACGGGGACACCGGGATTTGGGGGGTGACAGGTTAGGACTCGCTGTCGGAGCCTCCGGAGTCTCCAGGACCACACCCGTGAGGCTGGAGGAACCGGTTGGGATCCCAGTGGGATGGGCTGGGAGCCAATGGCCCCGCCAGGGCCACCAGCGCCATCATCTGCCAGGAATCCCGGCACAGCAGGGCTGGGGTGGGATTGGGAAAGGGTCTGCCCTCAGAGGAGAATGGGAATGGAGTCCCCAGGGGTCAAGGAGCACCTGGGCAACATTCCAAGGTTGGAATTTTGGTGGGATTTTGGTGGGGTTTTGGTGGGAGTTTTGGTGGGGATCCTGTGCACAGCCAGGAGCTGGACTGGACGATTCTTTGAGTCCCTTCCAACTCAGGATATTCCATGATTCCATGATTCTGTATGATTCCAGGATTACATAATTTTATGATTCTGTGATTCCATGGTTCTGTTAATCCCCGATTCCTTGATTCTGTGATGATGCTACTGCAATTCCGTGATTCCACAGAATTCTGCGATTCCATGATTCTGCAACTCCATGATACCATGATTGTATGACTCCACCATTCCACAATCCCATGATTCCCTGCTCCCAGGATTCCATGACGACACCCGATCCACGTGACGTCATCACGTCAATATGACGTCCACGGATACCATAGTTTCCCCCCCTCATCTGCCCCCCCCTCCTTTCCCCGGGGGAACACCAATCAGCGCTCTCCTTGCGTGGCTCGCGAGCGCATTGGGCGTGGCCGGGCGCGCGGCCGCCATTTCGGGGGGGCGGGAGCAGCGCCGCCGCCATTTTGTCGCGGGCGGCTGAGGGAGAAGCGGCGGCGGCGGCGGGAGCGGGCGGAGCTCAGCGCCGGCCCCGGCCCCGGCCCCGCGCCTGCCCCACACCTGCCCCGCTAACACCTGCCCGCCCGCCGGAGCCACCGGAGACCTGGCGACCGTCTGCTTCGGTGAGAGACTGCCCCGGCTGGGGGGGGGGAAGGGGACGGGACAGGCCTCGGGGCCCCCTTAGAGCTCCGGAGGGTCCCCTCAGGGTTCTGGGAGGGGTCCCTCTTCCCCCGGCTCCGTGCCCGGAGCTGTTCTCGGGGCTGACGGGGGCGGAGCGGGGATACCCCCGCGACGGTCACTCGAAAAAATACCGCTTAAAAAACCACTTTATATTTTTAAAAGCCCACTAAAATTATTAAAAATAATTAAAAACAGGAGCGAGGCTGCCGGTTGGCTCGATTTCTGGCTGTAAATCCTCTCCAAAAAGCGAGGTTTTGAGGGTGTTGTAGGGTGAGCGCGGCCCGGTCACCCACCCGTTAAATTTGGTGCTAATTATAAAAATAAATTAATAAATCGATCTGCAGAGCTCGGGGGTTGGAGCTCAGCACGTTTCCGTAGCATCCAGCACTGGGGGGGATTTAAATCCCTGCCCTGAGTCAGGTGGAACCTCGGTATTTTTAAAGGATATGATGCTTGTGTAGCATAATCTTGGATTTTTATTCCCGATTTTACGCCCTGTGCCCTTAAAATTGGGATTTGCCTCTTGCTGATGCTAAAAACGTGGGAAATGTGGAGGTGTTACTGTGCTAAAGGCATTTGGTTGCCATTTGCTGCTGGATTTTTGTATTATTACCCCAAATAATAGGAAAATATTCACTGTAAGACACCTTTTTAGTAAGGGTGAAATAAAGTAACTCCCTGATTTATTAGGGCTAGAAAATACTAAAAGTCTGTTATTATAATACCCATAACCTGCCTCTCAGTTCTCTCCACCCAGAATGGAGAATTTTTTAACGTTTAACCATATAAGCATATAATCGTATAATTTTGATATTTTTGGCTTTGTTTGGAAAATTTTTCTCTGAAGGTGCCACTTGGTTGCCATCTTGCTGCTGGATTTTTGTATTACTATTCTTAATATTGGCAAAATATTCACTACAAAAAGATAAATTTTTGGTAAGGATGAGTTAAAGTAGCTCCCTGATTTATTAAAATTGGCAGGGGGGCTACAAAACATTAAAAAATCAAACAGTCTCTAAAATCATCACAATCAGAACCTAAAAATTTTGGCAAAGGGCTAGAAAACACTAAAAATAATATATTACACATAGGAGTGGGGTAGGTTGGTTTTTTCTCCACTCAAGGGACAAAAATGGAGGGATTATTTAATATTTAACAGTAGAAATGTAGAATAAAGGTGTAAATTCTCCCTTTTGGCCCTGTTTTGCAGATTCTCTGAAGATGGCTGCACAGTCAGCACCGAAGGTCGTGCTAAAGAGCACCACCAAGATGTCTCTGAACGAGCGGTGAGGAAGCCAACGGCACCTTCAGCTCCTAAGAAACCATGTTTTTATACTTAATTCTCACTGCCCAAATCCAAGCCCACCGTGGGTCCCGCCCTCTTTTAACCTCGTCGAGCGAGCAGGTGCCTCCACACCTGCCTTCGCCTCCAGGTCCGGTGGCACAGCGGGTTAAAAGGGCCCAGTTGCGGAGGGATTGCTCCGTGGTTTAATGTTCGCGTGCCACGGAAATGCGGTGGGATGTGTTGTAAGAGCAGAGACCAACCTCACGCACCCTCCCTGTCTCTCCCACATGTTTTTGACATTGGTATTTTGGCCCGGCCGCCGCGCCCGAGGGTCCCACCTGCCCGGGTGAGCCCTGTAAGAGGCCGGTGGTGGCCCCTGGAACCAGCCCAAAGGCTCTTTGGGCCTTGTAAGAGGCAAATGCTTCGCTTCACCTCCATCTCTCCTCTGTCCTCGCGCTCTTCCCGTGGGTCATTCCGCTGGTTTTCCACGTGTGGCTTCTCTGTGACGACTAACGGGTGTCTCGCTGCCCTGCTGAGCACTTTGGGGTTAATTCTCTTACGACTGAGAAGTTTTGGGGCAGTTCTTGCTCCAGCAGAGCTGCAGGGAGCTGTAGGCTGAGCTTACTGGCACATCAGCCCATATTCCTCGTTTTTAGGGGATTTATTCCACTCTTCAGCTCCCAGGATGCTGTTCAGGGGCTTTATTTACCATCTCACTGCGTGCTTGCTCTTAAATTAAGCACTAAAAGCACCAAACAAATTCTCAAGTGGCCTCATTTCAGGAAAACAGTTGGGTGGAAATTAGGAGGTGCTTTGGGTGGTGGAATTTTGTAGAATCATGGCATTATTTAATGTTGGAAAAGCCTTTAAAGTGATCATTTCCAACCTGGTTCCCGCAGTGCCGGAGCACACCAGGCATTTCAGGGCACAGTGTCCTTCTAACCTGCCTCCTGGCCTGGAGTTTTTAAGCTTTTCCCAGATTTTGGGGGGTTAATTTGGCTTTTGCTGTCCCGTTTCTCCCACCTGTCATGGCCATCCCTGCTTCCTGCTGGTTGTCACCCCTTCTGCCACCTCTAAACCCACTAAACCTCCAGCTTTCTCATCCTGACTGAACTTCCACCTCATTCCTGCCTTTTCCAGTCCTCGTGGCAAGCGAGGAATCCGTAATCCCATAAAAGTACCACTCTTTGCATAAGGTTCATGGGAGCTGGAGACCCACTCGAGCACCGTGAAATGCCAGTAATTGTGTGTTTTAAGCTTTAATTAAACCCCGTTTTATTCGACCTTGAAGCTTCACTAACATGCTGAAGAACAAACAGCCGATGCCAGTGAATATTCGGGCCACCATGCAGCAGCAGCAGCTGGCCAGCGCCAGAAACAGACGCCTGGCCCAGCAGATGGAGAACAGACCGTCTGTCCAGGCTGCTCTGAAGCTCAAACAGGTGAGGAAAAGCTGGATTTTGGGCTTGGAGGGATGTGGAAAATAAGCTCCTCAGAGATAAAGAGTCCCAAGAAGGGAAGGGGCTGGAGGGTGAGTCCTGTGAGGGATCACTGGAGAAAAGGAGGCTCAGGGAGGATCTTCTCTCAGCTCCCAACAGGAGGGTCAGGTTGGCCGTCAGGAGGAATTTCCCCATGGAAAGGGTGTTCAGGCCTTGGCAGGGGCTGCCCAGGGAGGTGGGGGAGTCCCCAGCCCTGGAGGTGTCCAGGGAAGGACTGGCTGTGGCACTGAGTGCTCTGGGCTGGGGGACGAGGTGGGGATGGGGCACAGGGTGGACTCCATGGGCTGGGAGGGCTTTTCCAACCTCAGGGATTCTGAGATTCTGTAAAAAGGCTCTTGGAGGTCCAAAAGGAGGGACACAAGGATGGGGAAGGGTCTGGAGGGGCCGCACGAGGAGCAACTGAGGCTTCTTCAGCTGGAAGAGACGAGGCTGGTGGGAGACCTCAGGGGGCTGCAGCTCCTCCTGAGGGGCAGCTCCGATCTCTGCTCCATGTGAGCAGGGACAGGACCTGAGGGAACAGCTGGAGCTGTGCCAGGGGAGGGTTAGGCTGGATTTTAGGAAAAGGTTTTTCTCCCAGAGAGTAGTTGGTTGGGCACTGAACAGGTTCCCCAGGGCAGTGGGCACGGCCCCAAGGCTGCCTGAGCTCCAGGAGCGTTTGGACAACGCTCGAGGGACACGATGGGATTGTTGGGATGTCCGTGCAGGGCCAGGAGTTGGACTCAATCCTTGTGGGTCCTTTCCCATTTGGGATATTCCATGATCCTAAAAACAAGACACCTTGAGGGACTTGCAGAAAATCCCGCTTTTTACCTCAGATAAGTGATTTGTCACCTCCTGGTGGTTGCTGTTGTCGTGGGGATGTTCAGTGCTGGCTGTTGACGTCTCCTCTCTATTTTTCCAGAGAAATGTCTCATCCCGGGGTTCGGGAGCTGCCGAGTGCTTCACCTCACAGTCCCACCTCCAGCCCTTAAAACCCCACCCCAGCTCCACCCTCCCTCGGCTGCGAGGAAAACAGAGGAGTTGCTGATTGTTTTGGGAATGCAGGCCTGGCTTCCAGGCATAGCCCTGCGTTTTAGGAGTGCTATCCCACATCTCATGTCGTGTCCCCAATCCCAGATTGCTGCATGACTTCCGCTCTTTCCCTTCCCGATCCTCTCTTCCAGAAGAGCTTGAAGCAGCGTCTCGGGAAGAGCAACATCCAGGCTCGGCTGGGCCGGCCGGCGGGAGCGCTGGCCCGGGGGGCCCTGGGGGGCCGGGGCCTGGCCCTGGGCCAGCGTGGAATTCCACGGGGGGCCCTGCGGGGCCGCGGCGCCCGGGCCATGATCCGAGGGGCTGCCGCGCTCCGAGGTGGGTGCCACCCCCTGCCCGCAGCCCTGACGTCCCCCTGGCCGTTCCTCAGCCTGAAATCCCGTTTTTTTTGGCTGTTCCATCACAGGTCAGGGGCTGCTCCGCGGCGGGAGGGGGATCGCCCCCCGGATGGGGCTGCGGAGAGGAGGGCTCAGGGGCCGCGGAGGGCCGGGAAGAGGCGGCCTGGGCCGAGGGGCCATGGGCCGAGGGGGGCTCGGAGGCAGAGGTGAGTGTGCCCAGACTTCAGGGATAACGGGAGTTCAGCTGCAGTCCCTTCTCCTGCTCAAGGTCGGGGTGTGGAACCTCCAGCCTCTAAAATTCCAAGTCTGGAATTTGAAAAGCTCATTTATCCAAGAGCTGGTTATTTTTAACAATAAAATGGAGAAGGGGCTTGAATTAGGTGGGAGAGGAAAACCTGGAGCCAGCTGTTGGGGGGGGGCATCCAGGTGTTATGGTTGGGCTGGGACTGAGGAATTCTCGGGAAGCTCCCGATTCTTCAGCAGCTTTGAGCAGTGGCTCTTGGGCTGACAAACACAGAGGGACTGGAGCGAGCTGGGTGTGTATCCATGGCTCCACCATCTCTCTGGGCACCTGGAGGGCTGGGGTAGGGAATTGGGAGTTGAGAATTCCTTGGCTGGAAGGTGTGACTGGTTTTCCATCCCTGCCAGGTCGCGGCATGTCCAGCCGGGGCCGGGGCGGCTTCGGGGGCCGCGGGAGAGGCCGAGGCCGCGGCAGAGGCTCCGCACGGCCGGCCCTGACCAAGGAGCAGCTGGACAACCAGCTGGACGCCTACATGTCCAAGACCAAGGGACACCTGGACGCCGAGCTGGACGCCTACATGGCACAGACGGATCCCGAGGCCACCGACTGAGGGGCCAGGACTGCCCGCGGAGCTTGTGCCGTGCTGGGAGAACCCTTCTCCGTTCCCCATGGAGAATTCAGACTTAGTGTGTTCTTCGATGTTTTGATACTCTCTCTGTTGTATTAAACTTTTTTTGGGATTGTTTTTTGGGGGGATCTTTTTCGGTGGGTTTGTTTTTTCCCCCCTGAGGGAAATGGGATGGATCCACCGCTGGTGACGTGTCCGTGGGATGGGGGTCAGGCCTTGGTGTGCCTCTGGAGCTCCGTGGTTGGGGTTTGGGGTGTTTCTGTGGATTTGGGGATGTTTTTGTTGTGTTCTGGGATGCTCTTGTTGGGATTTTGGGATGGCTCGGTTGTATTTTTGGATCGCCAGGTTCACTCCTGTAGAGTTCAGTTGAACCCACCTGAAGCCAAACCCAACCATCCTAGCAGGGCCAAGAGCCCAAGTTTAGCTGTTGTTTTCCTTCAAGATGCTCAAATCCTCTTGTTCCACACCGGGAGTTCCTGTAGGTTGGAGCAGGAGGAAAATTCCCTTTTAGTGGATTTTTTGGGGGTTTAAAGTTCTTTTGGCACCGTGTTTCTGTGGTTCAAGTGCTTGTTTAAAGGAATGGGAGACAGGGACATAAAATTCCAGCTGGGACAGCGAAGCAGAGCATCAGAACTGTCTCTTACAGTACAGACTCCAAAATCTGTCATTTTTCTCCAAAAAACAATTGAACCCCGTGGCTTGGTGAAGGGTTTGTGATTCCCGTCCAGGTTTGAATTTCGCCCCTTCTGTGACCTATTCTGGTTCCATTGGAATCTTGCATTTCTGGTTGGTTATAACAAAGGAGAAAAATAATTCCCAAAGCCATGTTTAGGGGTTAGGGTTTTTTCCCAGAAAATGGGATTTTTCTCCTCCTCCTCTGCCATGGAATTACTCTATAGGGGCAGAAGGAAGCGGAGGGAATGCGGTCGCAGCCCCAGGAACCCACCGGCTCCATCGAGTTGGGATCGGGGCCGGAGTCCGGCGGCATTCCCGGAGGGATCGGGGCCGGAGTCCGGCGGCATTCCCGGTGGGATCGGGGCCGGGCGGGCGCCGGGACCCAGCGGCGCCGGGGGCTGGGCCCGTGTGTGCTCAGGCAGTGTAAGCGCAGCCGCTATTGGCTGGCGAGGCGAGGGACGGTTGTTACGGCGGCTGCCATTGGCTGCGGCGCGGCGGCATCTCACGCTCTCCGGCCGCTGCTTTTGATACTGAGGGGAACGGGCAAATGCCGGAAACGGGATTGAGGGGGCTGAGGGTGAAAGGACCCCAAACGTGTTGGTTTAACCGTTCTGTAATGGACGGGGTTGGGGTTTGTGGCCTGTCTGTCAGCGGTGCGGTTGCGCCTCTAGATGTTCCTGAGCTGCGCCTCGTCTGTCCCCACTCGGGACTACATTGCCCACCAGCCCCCGCGGCCTTTCCCGTCCCTGCGGACTCGGTTTCCCAGCAGTCCCCGCGGCGCGTGGGGGGCCAAGATGGCGGTGGGGAGCGGCCCCGCGGCCCGGGAGCTCTTCGCTGAAGGGCTGCTGCAATTCCTGCGCCCCGCCGTGAGACAGCTCGACCGTCACGTCCACAGCGTCAGGTACGGCCACACGGACCGGGCAGGGCGGGCCGGGAGCGGCGGCGGGAGCGCGGGGGCCGAGGGGCAGGTAGGGCTGAGAGGGTATCTGTGGTATCTGAGGGGAGTCCAGGTCCCCTGGGGGGGTGACTTTTCGGCTGGGGGGTGCTGAGGGCACAGATCCCATATTGAGGGGCCTTTGGGGTGGGGTCCAATGTTTTCCCTGTCCCCTCGCAGGGAGAGCCAGGTGGAGCTGCGGGAGCACATCGACAGCCTGGCCACAGGTGAGCCAAAAACGGGGGGGGGGGTCACCTCTGCCACCCCTCACCTCCAGGTTTGGGGGGCACAGGGGGTTCACTGGCTCTGTGCCCCTTCCTCAGAGCTTTGCCGCATCAATGAGGACCAGAAGGTGGCCCTTGACCTCGACCCCTACGTGAAGAAGCTGCTCAACGCCCGGCGCCGGGTGGTGCTGGTCAACAACATCCTGCAGAACGCCCAGGTGGGGTTCTGGGGGGCAAAGAGGGGTTGTGGGGGGTCCCAGAGCCCCCCTGGGCACTCACAGAGGGGGGTTTTCCTGCCCAGGAGCGGCTACGGAGGCTGAACCACAGCGTGGCCAAGGAGACCGTGCGGAGGAGGGCGATGCTGGAGGCTGGGGGCTACCAGGGCAAGTGAGAGCCAGGGGAGCAGGTATCCCCGGGATCACAGCCTTGGGAATTCGGGGGGTGTCCCTCCTCACCTGCCACATGGGGAGCAGGGACCCCCCCCGAGTCGTGTGCCCGGATTTGGGGGTGCTGGAATAAAAGTGACGCTGGACTCCGTGATGGTGCCACGTCCCTGAGGGGCCTTGGGGACAGTGGGGAAAGCAGGGGTTGCCAGGGGGGGTCTGGGCACAAGCAGGGGGCGTTGGGCAGCCCCAGGGGGCTTTGGAGGCATTGGGCAGCCCCAAGGGGGTTTGGGAAGCCCACGGTGAAGTGAGGGCACCCCTAGGTAGGGTTTGGGTGTTGCCAGGTGGGATTTGGGGTTTGGGCAGCCCCAGGTGGGATTTAGGTGTCCTCAGGTGGGATTTGGGGTTCAGGCACCCCCCAGGTGGGTCCTTTCAACTTCTGGAACCTTCTCCTGCCACCCCACCAGTTTCATTCCCATCCATCCTGTGTGTCCCTGACCAACCAGGACTCACTGGAAAGGGGGAACACTTTAATGTGTTACATTTAACACTTATAAAACACGGACAGGGCCAAGTCAGGGGCCCTCTCCTGCCCCAGGTGTCCCTGTGCCCTCACTCCTGGGTCTCCATGCTCTCCTCCTCCTCTCCCGCTGCTGGCTCTTCCTGGTTTTCCTCTTCCTCCTCCCCTTCCTTCTTCTCTGGGGGTTTCTCGTACGCCTTCTCCGAGGGTGTCACGATCACCCCGTCCCACGTGGACATCTCGGACGCCAGGTCTGCCCCAACAGGTGGCGCTGGATTCCAGCCCCATTCCCACCTGGATACCCCCGGGATTCCAGCTCCATTCCCCCCCTGAATGCCCCTGGGATTCCAGCCCCATTCCCACCTGGATACCCCCGGGATTCCAGCTCCATTCCCCACTGAATCCAGACACCCCTGGGATTCCAGCCCCATTCCCACCCGGACACCCCTGGGACTCCAGCCCCATTCTCACAGGGACACCCCCACTCACAGCTGGCGTCTCCCTCCTGTCCCAGGATTTTCCGGTAGCCCCCGTGGGACAGGATGCGGACGAGGGTCTGGGCCGTGTAACACACCATGTCCTGGGGGTGGGGAGGGGTCAGTGCAGGGACAGGGACCCCCCGAGCATCCCCTCCCCTGTGGGGATCCCCCTCACCTGCTGTTCCAGCGTCATCACCGTGTGCACCCGGAAGTTGCCGCTCTCGCAGGGATCCGTGATGCCCACGGATCCGGGCAGGAAGAGCCCGGCCGCCAGGATCTGGAGGCAGCGCCTGCACACAGGACATTTCGGGTTCAAACTGGAGCATTCCAGCAGAAATACAGCCAGCAGCTCCCAGCTGGAGGAGCCGGATTCATCTCCCAGGCACCGCTCCAGTGGTTTTACGGGGAAAACCGAGCCACAGCAGGAATTTATCCCCTGGGATTGACCTGTAGGCGATGTTGAGAGCCAGGGGCTGCCGGGTGGGGTTGTTCATCACGGCGTAGTGCCCCTGGAACGGGAAGGGCAGAGGAATTAGGGCAGGAAGGGAAGAATCCCAGCTCAGGGGAAGAATCCCAAGCCCTACTGGGATTGGGATCGGGATCAGCTCCACATCCACGTCCCCCACCAGCAGGTCCAGGATCCACGGCGTGAGCGGCTCAAAGCCAGGGAAGCGGATCCTCAGGTCCTTGAGCAGCCGGATTAGGACCTTCACCCTGGGGCAGAGGCAGGAGGAGGGTCAGTCCTCACCACCAGCACCACTCCACATTCTCCATAAGGAGACCCATGATCCTTGGATCCACGATTCCCTTGGAACTCACGTGGACTGCGAGGCGTTCTCCTCAAACCACCGCGCGTGCCGGATGGCGGCCAGGGCGCTCTGCAGCACCTTGATGTCCACTGCAAGAAGCACAAAGTCCCAGTTTTCCAACCCAAAGAGGCACAGGGAGGGCGCACCAGGCGCTCCTTCTGCCCCGGATCCCAGTGGGAAGCGCGGCCGGGCCCTCACAGTGCAGCTCCGGGTCCAGCTTGCGCAGGTTGGGTGGCACGGTGGTGATGAGGATCTTCACCGTGGCGTCGGCTGAGCTGATCTCAAAGCCCGTCTCGTTGGTCAGCATGGTCAGCACTGGGGGGGAAAACCGGGAATTCCACATGGAGGGCTTGGAAAACTCCTGGGAACAGGGGAACTCAGCCTGCATCGCTCCAGAGATCCCACCTTCGCTGGGGTCCTGCGCCCTCAGGCTCTCCACCACCTTGTTCCCCAAGGCTGCCACGGCTTCCACTGGGGTAAAGAAGGAAAAGGAGAAGGGTTGGAGCAGGGCTGGGAGTCGCTCCGATCCCACCTGATCCCAGCCAGCCAGCACTCACAGGTGGGCAGGATCTTCAGGATCACCACCAGATCCGCCACGTTGTGCCCCGTGGTCATCGTGCCCTTCTTGTAGGAGCCCACCTGGCGAACCTCCTCAATTTGCTGTGGGAAGGACAACCCCAAATCCCAGGAATTCAACACAGTGCAGCATTTTGGGGGCTCAGTATTGATCCTTAATCTGCCCTGGGCCAGGACCACCAGGGCCCTTGTGAGGGACCATCTCCCCAGGGCGCTCTTTTCCCAGTCCCATCAGTCCATCATCTCCCCACGGAGCTCTTTTCCCAACTTTGGGCTCACCACTTCAAAGGTTCCGGGTGCCACGATTAAGTTGTCGATGACATTGTTGATCTTGGTCACCAGGGACAGGATGGAAGCCTGGGAAGGAACAGGAGGGGGGGATTATCCAGGAAAACCTCTCAACAATTCCACTTGCAGAGCACAAAATCATCCAAGAATCTCCTCCTGGGTGCTCATTCCAGAGAATTAATTCATTTTTAGGCCGCTCCTGTGAATCCCTGAAGGACTTTGGATTCTCCAACACCCATCCCAAGGATCTGAGGGAATTTTGGGCACCTGCTCAGCAGCGGTGGGAGCCAGGTCCTGATTCCTCTTGAGCAGGGCCTCACTGAAGGCTGTCTCATCAGCTGCAGGTTTGACACGAGGAAAGGCCATCTCACACTGGAATGGGATGAAATTCCCACTGGGATTTTACTTTCCAACACAATTTCCTGTTCACATGATCCTACCGGAGCTCCACAAGTGTCCAGGAGCTCCCACCTGTGCAGCTTCAGAGGGTTTTATTAACTATATTAATTAATTTAATAATTTAACTCATTAAATCTGCAGCTACCGGGCCTTGGAATCACATCCCTAAAGGGCAGAAACTCAGGGAATTCGGGATGAGGGAATGATTTCTTCCTGGAAAAGGTGGGAAACAGGTGTTGCTGCGGGACCGAGAGGACACCTGAGAGGAGGTGACAGGTATTGGGGTCACCCCGAGGGTTGGAGAGGGGGGACAAACCTCAATCCAGGAATTGATCTGGTATAATCCCCCCCAAAAAATGATCCAAACCCCCCAAACCAGGGATGGGGGGTCGTTCAAGCTGGAAAACCCCTGGCAATCCCCAGAAAAGGCCCCCTGGATCCCCTCGGAACGGGGGTTACTCACGACATAGAAGTCAAAGGGGATGTGGGGCACAAAGGGCCGGAACCTAAAGGGGAGAGAAGACCCCACTTCACTCTCTGGGCGGGGCTTTGTCCCCCCCAAACCCACCCTCCTGTCACGACAGAGCGCTGTCACGACACGTGGGATGGCCCGGCAGGGCCGGGGGTTACCTGAGCCCCCTCCCCAGGACCCCCCTACCGCCCTCCCCGCATCCGAAGCATTCCCAGGACTCCCCTGGATCCGAAGCGGCCGCCGCGGCCGCGGCCTCGATCACCCCTGCGGGGAGAGAACGGGAGCGATAACGGGGGGTCCGAGCGACCCCCGGTCCCACCCCCATACACCCCATCCCGCCGCTCCCCGTTACCCCTCCCCGTCCCGGTCCTGTCCCCCCGCTGGTTCCATCCCGATCCCGCCGCCCCCTGTCCGGTGTCCCCCCAGTCCCGGTTACCCCCCGGTTCTCCCCCGTTCCCTCCCCGGTCCCGGTCCTGGTCCCCCCCTCATTCCCGGTATCCCCCCATTCCCGATATCCCCTCCCTCATTCCCGATATCCCCTCCCTCATTCCCGATATCCCCTCCCTCATTCCCGATATCCCCCCCATTCCCGATATCCCCCCCCCATTCCCGATATCCCCCCCATTCCCGATATCCCCCCCCCATTCCCGGTTTTCCCCCACCTCATGTCTCCGCCGCTCCCAACAATGAACCGCCGCTCTCAGACCCCGCAGCAACCCTCCCTCCCATTGGTCACCTCCCTCCGCCGGCCCGCCCTCCCGGGGCCGCTCCCCGCTCTCCATTGGTCTGGCCGCGCATCAATCTAAGGCGGAAACCACTAATAGCGGCGCGCGGCCGCTGGGGGGAGCCGGGTCGGTGAATGGGGCGCGAGCGGGTTAGTGCCTTACCTCGCGGCCGGGAGGGACCGCGAGGGGCAGCAGAGTGGCGCAGCGGGAGCGTGCTGGGCCCATAACCCAGAGGTCGATGGATCGAAACCATCCTCTGCTAACGCTGAGTTTTTCTTTTCCTCAGCAGCGATCTCGTTAATCGCGTCGGGTTTTACCGCTGCTTTAAGGCGACTTTAATGCTCCTTAATACTTTTTACAACTTGTCCCGCCCCGGAGCATCGCGGGGTAACGGCTGTCACGTGTGTCGTCAGACCCGGGGGCTCGGGGTGTCCCCGGGGGGCTGCGCGTGTCCCAGGGCTTGGACCATCCCGGCTTTGGACTGTCCCGGGGTTGGACCACCCCGGATCTGCGTGTGTGCCCGTCCACGCGCGTCCTCAACCCCCGCGCGCGTCCCCGTCCGCGCGTGTCCCCCGAGTACCCCCAGTGTCCCCAGCAGCCGCGCGACCCCCCGAGTGGCACCTCCGGGGTCACCCCCCCCACTCCCGTGGGGCCGCGGGGACCCCTCCGTGGGGCAGAATCTCCCACGGGTGCGGAAAGGGGGGGCGAGAGATGCCCGAGCCCCCCACGACCCCTCCGCCGGGACCGCCCGGAGGCTCCGGCGCCGCGCGGGGACAGGGCGGGGGGGCCGCGTTTTGGGGCGTCCCCCGCCCCACCGACGAGTTCATCGGGTCTCAGCGCCTCACTCGTGCCCGTGTCCGGTCGTGGGGCGGGTCAGCGGCAGCACC